GAGGGGGAGTTGGGGAGGGGGAGGGGGGGAGTTGGGGGAGGAAGGATGTTTGCTGGTGAACATTCTGCTGCTGTTGCGAACTGTGGGGTTGTGTTGTCATCATGTAGAATGTTTTGTTTTGCTTTTGTTTTTGCTTTTTCTCTTATCCCCCACCGGGGCAGTGCTACTGACTCTGACTGAAGTTGTCTTTAGGCCGTTCCCAAAGGGGGGATATTCACATCATGTTCTTATGCGCAGTTAAATTGTAAATGGGATGATTTATCGATATCATGCGTGGGTGGTTGGCGGTGCTCTAGTGTGGTTTGCTCCTTCTTTCCTATCAAACATTTATAGTACTAATCTCTCCTCCTGTTTTGTGTTTATTACCCTCTTGTAACACCTCCAATCTTCGGTACTTATATGACCTTATTGTGTTGCAAGTGCCGTAAAACTCTTACTAAAACTAAGCAATTTCATGCTCATACTGTGCGGGAACAACATATGGGGAACTGCTGCTTTTTCTTTCCTCATCCTTACTATCGTCATTTTTCCTCTACTTCTTTTGTATTTTTGTCACTCTCTTGTGAACTGCTATTTTAGGATGCCTATATAGTCGAAGCAGATTTTGTGCTATTGAGGCTTGAGAGGTGAGAAGAGCAAGCCTGATTCCCCGTTTGGACTTCTCTGTTGACCTCCACCCCTTGTCGCTCATATGACCTTATGCAGTTGGGAGCGTCGTAAAACCTTATTAAAACTAAACTTTTCTCTTGGTGTTGTCTGTTGATGGGGTTGTTGTTGTTTTTTTTTGTTGTAAGGTTGTTTTGGGGTGTTGTTTGGGGTTCTTAATTTCTTTTGCATTGGGTTTTTTAAGGGGGGGGGTATAGGACCCTAGTAGACATAGGGAGGTTGATTTTTGGAGTCATGGGTCTGAAAGAAAAAGAAAGGTAGTGCACCGAAGTCACAATAAAACATGCACTAGATGCTCTGATGTTGTTCCAAAGAAACGAATGAAGACAGTCATACTCAATAGTTGGGCTTTACATTACATTAGTTAATTGTACATCCTTTTGATGTGCCATGAGTGAGTGTGTGTTT